GGCCTTGTGTAGATCGAAAGAGAACGATTTTTTCTATCGAATGATTTAATTGAAGTTCAAAATTCAATAAAAAAAAACGTTTCAAAAACTGTGTTAAAAATGTTCAGTAGGTTTTCATCCTATTGATCAATTACTGAGCAATGAAATTTGTCCATAGATTTACGTGCCCCAGTGTTCTCTTTCTAACAGTGAAAACCGCAGCTCGCTAGCTGTTTGCGTTCTCGAGTTATTCAACTCACAATCACACGCCTTTTATTTTGAAATGGATAGTAATTGGTCTACGAACTGTCGAAAAAAACAATATTCTTGATGCAACTTATGCGAAAATATATAATAAATGCCATTTTTATTATCGAAAGAAAATCTTTTATCATTTTGCCAATTAGTTCCTATTATCATTGATTAATGGAAAAAGTAAAGGCATAACATATCTCAATATATGAATTGAAACTTCATATGACATAGAGAAGAAGTTTCATTGGAAAAATAATAACGATTTACAGTTTTCTCTATTATGCGTAATAGATAAGTAATTATCTTTCTAATGAATTTCGATGAACTTATTTTTGAACGTTGGTAACTATTATTTTCTATGATCAACCAAACGGTTTTCAATTGAGGAAAATTTTAAAAAAACCAAGAATATCTTACTTTGACGCTGCGAAAGCGCCTTCACCACCACATGATCGAGCAAATAGTGCAGCTAAATAAAAGACAATGCCTCCTATATCTATCCAATTCCAACCGCTGACAAAAATAACCATGAATCCATGTTGTACGTCGAATGATCTAATCAAATAAAAAAAGAATTGAAGAGAAATACTTAATAGGAACAGATAAAACACTGACTTGACACAATTCATCAATAATGAAACTCAATATGTAAACAAGTAACATGATTTCTGAGATGGGAATCCATAAATTGCTAATTTTGTAACGTTTCTCACCATCAAGATTCAATGGAGCATAACTAGCAAGAAGCACATAACTGAATAGAATCAAGAATAGGACAAAGAAAATCTAAATTTAGAATGCAAAAATAATATCCAAGAATGTAGAACAGAGTAATAGAGGAAAAGCACTTACGACATGATAGTAAAATCGTACTATCGGAGCTTCGTAAAAGCATTTAATTCTATGCTATACGTCATTCGGTCGAAGATGTAAGGATACAAAGAAATTCTTAAAATGATTTCTGTTCCATCTTTTGAAAGAAGATTTTTCATGATCCATGACATTTATCGTTCTGTAAAAAGTGGTTTTAAAAATTGAAACTCGAAATTGGAGCAAACAACAACGAACCTTCGTTGAGAGAAATGTATCAAAAGATGCTGTATTAGCTTATTGTTAACCTACACAATGATAAAATATATAAGAATGATTCACAAAGATTGTTTTGTCATTTGTAGTACTTTCGACTTCGTAGAAATCTTTTTGTAAAGGCAAGGACAAATTACGGATGCAACTGGTAAGAGGGGCAAAAACAGCGATGAAAGAAAGATCTAAATAAAATATTCGAACGAGTTATGAGACAATTTTACAAATATTATTGACAAATCCAAAAAGAGATATCCATCTTCACTGGTTGTTGATCGTCAAAGTCATGGTACCATTTGAGGTTGAGATGTTTTTGAATAGTATCACTGGCAAGAAAAGTTTTACAATTCGTATACTTGGCTATTTCCAACGGAGTGTGACTGTAGAATGCCTTAGCTTTTTCATTGATTACATTGATAGCAAGATTATTGTCTTTGGCAAAACACTCACCTATGATACCTTTCGAATGCTGATCAAACTCTCTGTTTTCATCAAAAAAAGTAAATTAAAAATGCATGAAAAACGATGTATCAAATAATTTCGAATGAAATTTGATTACTTTGAAAGCTGTATGAAAATATCTTTGTTTTTTTCATCCTTCTTTGCTACTTGTTAATAAATCGTAACTGCAAGAAGAGCGGCAACCGTCTGATTCTAATATTTTCAGTGTGTGGGTGTGGGTCGCTTGTTGAATACACCCATATCTACTGTGGCAACCATACTCACACTCACACCCATACCCCCACCCACATCCTCTAGCATATAGATTTGACTAGGAAATTTCTGTCAAAGGTAAATCGAAACTGAGTAATTTGGAATCTACAATTAGATTTTGAAAATTTTCAATTGGGTTTTTTCATTAGGAGAAAGGATTTTTCGAGAAAATAACGATATTTTATAAAGGTTGCCGAAAGCAAATCGGAGTCGAGGAATTCGAATCTGCAATTAGATTCCCGATATTTCAAGTTCGATTTTTTCACATGGTTTTCTTAAAAAATTGATTTTTAAAAACAAAGATGTTTTCTTTGAAAAATAATTTTTTAAGAAAAATCAATATGTTTTTACAAAAAAGAAATCTGTGAAAAAAGTTAACTCAAAATCTTGAAAAACCAATTGCGGATTCGAATTTCGAGACCCAGCTTCCCCTCGTCCACCTTTATAAAATACAGAGCTGGGCAAGTACGGGGTTTTTTGAGTACAAGTACGAATATGAATACCGACTCTCGAGTCAGCAGTGTCTAAGGACTGAGAAATAGGAATTCCTAATTTGTAGAGGAATTGCCAGTGTAGCTATGATAAATCCTTGGGGAAATGGGAATTGACCATTATTTCCATCACAGTTCCCTCATTCATGAAAGTCAAGATAATGCTTTTTTTGCAATAATTTTCGTACTCATACGTTCATGTGCACAAATTTCTTGATGAAAACGAGTGTAAGAGTAATAAATACCGCGGATATTGTATTTTTTTAATTTTAGCATTCAAAGAAATGTCAGGGAACTGAGTAGGAATTCCTATTCCTCAGTCCTTGGACACCCCTCAAACTTTATTACATTTAAGAAAAGTAAGCAAGCATATACTTTTTGAAGTTAAAGATGTACGATGTGGACACATTATAAAACCACTTTGAGAAAATACTCTTTCAGTAAGAGCTGATGTATCCGACACTGACAAGTATTTCAGACCAAGTTCATATAAAGAAGGATAAAGATTTTTCTTGAGGAAAAGTAAATTACGTTCATCACTTTTTTCCGATAGAAAAGCATCAAGCTCCACCAAAATTTTTTGTTTCTCATCAAAAGAAGTATTTTCTATATCATTCAAATAATGGAAAAGACATTTTCGTTTTGGTATTGCATCAAAATGTTTTGTCAGTTTATCGCTAGTATCTTGTTCATGTACATTTGGCTCATTAGCTCCCTCTTCCTGTAACATAGAAAAGGTCAATTTTGAGAAAAAACGAACAAAAGAAGTATGGATTTTTTCTATAACACGCAACTTTACTACAACTTAAAGATTATCAAGCCATAACAATTTATAACGTGCATCGAGAAGAGGTGCAATCAGAAAAATACGGTCAGACAAACGTTCAGGCATAGAATAAGAAACAAATGCACACCATAATGTAGCGCCTATGCATTTATCTAAACGTATGTATATGTATGTATAAAAGAAAATGAAGAAATCATCTGTTCACTACATCATCGAAAATAAATATACTAAAGTTTTATGTAGCATTATTTTGATATCATGCATACTTGAACTTTCGAGTAGTCAGCCCTCGAGTACGAGTACGACTACGACTACGACCAAAATCGTACTCGAGTACGAGCATTTCGAGTATTTTGCCCAGCTCTGATAAAATATCGTTCCTTTCTCGAAAAATCCTTTCTCCAACTCAAAAATCCAATTCAGAATTTCCGAAATCTGACTTCAGATTCGAATTCTTTGACCCGATTTACTTTAGTCGACCTTTATAAAATATCGTTATTTTCTTGAAAAATCCTTCCGCTAATCAAAAAAGTCCAATTCAAAATTGTTAAAGTCTGACTTCAGATTCGAATTCCTCGATCTCGATTTGCTTTCGTCAACCTTTATAAAAACCAGTTCTTTTCTCAAAAAAACTCTTCCTCTATCGAAAAAAGTCCAATTCAAAATTGTCAAAATCTGACTTCAGATTCGGATTCCCCAGCCCCGATGTACTTTCGTCGACCTTTATAAAATATCGTTATTTTCTCGAAAAATTCTTTCTTCTAACGAAAAAACCCAATTCAAAATCTTCAAAGTCTAATTGCAGAATCGAATTACTTGGCCTCGATTTACCTTTGATAGAAATTTCCTAGTCAAATCTATATGCTAGTGAAACTGTGTAAGATTGTAGGAAAGATCTGGATTGAGCCGAAACTTAGTATCGATTGGATCCCGAAGACGACCGCACCCCGAGAAGTTCTGGTTCGGTGCATGCCTATTGTAGATGTGGATGAAATAACATCCATACCCACCCACACCTTACATTCAAACTCTACACCGACACTAACACTGATGCTCATACTCACATTCATACCCTAATTGCAAGCTGTGCTGCATCAAGAAACTGATCAATCCTGAAATATATATAGAAATTTTAAACTACAATCATTCGTTGAAAGAAATATTTATGAAGTATTTCAAAATGAACATTCTTCCTGAGGTTCAGACAGTTTTCTGAACTTCTATTATTTATTGAAACAAGAAGAGTTCAATGGATTGAAATCATGAAAATTTCCTGAGAAGTCAATTGTCAGGCTATGACATCTATACTTAGCGATATTGTTATCCTTCACCATGTTTTTCTTTTTTTTCTCTCTCTCGTTGTGATATGTTATGATAAGAGTTGAAAAGAAGTTATAAAAAAAGTAAATAAACAAGATAGAAAAAGGAATCATAACAGTGGTGACAGCGGTTATTGAATTTACTATTATTATTGAATTATTTATATATTATTATGTTTTATCTGGGAACATCCTTCTATTAGGATTGTACCTGTGGTTTGATTCCTTCTATATGATATATTTATGAATACCAGATCCAATTTGGATTTAAGCCGAACTCACGTTTCCGAATTACAATATACATCTCGTCGACAACCCAAAAGTATATTAACTCCTACATCTAGTTCTATTATAACTACGACTACAACACAATCTGCTGTTCAATCTCATGTCGATATTAAATTACAAGAGACTGATGCTTCACCAGTTGCCCTCAAGAACTTTGATCTATTACGCGAATATGAAAATCAACGTTTAAGTGTTATTAAAATGTTAACACTCGAAGAAATGATGAACGTTGATCAGTGGTTATTAAGTTTATATAACACCTATGAAGAATTACGTTATCCATCATGGTCCCGTGTATCTGCTGCTATACGCTATTTTCAAGAAGAAGAACAACAATGGTTTCAACATTCCCAACATGAAATCAATAATGATTGGCCTTGCTTTTGTATGAAATTAAAACAACATATTCATCATCGCCTACAATCTTATAATGTTACTCCTGTTACAGATAAATCTATTTCATTTATTAATGAATCAAATCAATTCAGACAATTTATTAACAATAACTTCATCGAATACGCTGGTAAAGGTTATGCCAACCAGTGGTTATTGGAAACAGTTAATAAATTTCGAGATTATCAATTATCTGAACCTGATCAACTTCAAATTATACCGTTATTATTGGAAGATACAGCACTTATTTGGTATAAAGAGAATGAAAAATTAATTATTAGTATTGAAAAATTTCGTGAATTATTTCTTCAACATTTTACAACCATCTATCCTAACTTCATTATGACTAATTCAACACTTTCTTCTGAATTATCTCTTACAATGGCTCGTGAAATTATTCATACACCTATTTATTTTTCTGGTTTTAAGGATGATGTTATTGATTGGCTTGAAAAAATTGAACAACGATTTCGAATGGCAAATTGGGATGATGACAATAAATTACGATATATTTCCATACATTTGCAAGATGATGCCTATAAATGGTGGATCCAAGCATCAAAAAGAATTTCGACGTGGTCTGATTTTGTTAAAGATATTACTCAAGCATTTACATCAGCCAAATTGAAAGAAATAGCATTTGAACAATTACGATAGTATAAGCAATCTGTTAACCAAACAATTACTCAATATTATGGTAAAATTTTAGAATTATGTACACGAGTTGATCTTAATATGCCTGATTCTTTGAAATTAAAGTATCTTATCGCAGGTGTTAAAGATTCATTAAAATTACATATAGCATTACATGATCCACAAACTACTGAATCTTTTCTTACATTTGCAAGGAAATTAGAAGCTACATTATCATTTACTAATAGTATACATGAACATAATCAAACAAATGACCCTCATGATACTGCTGCATTACGATACGCTTCATCTTTTTCTGATAATGGTTTTCAACCACATACAAGAAAATCCAAAGACAATATTCAACATTCACTTGCTCCTACTTACCAACCACCTCGAAACAATAATTCATATAATACCAAAGCTACTCATACTACTCAGTCTCATTATAAGTCATCAAAGTCCAAGGCAGTTATTTGTTATAATTGTGGTACGCCCGGACATTATTCTCGGGATTGTACCCGTCCTCATTTCGAATGAGGGAAGCATCAGTCGATGGTGTTGCTTCCAATATTTTATATAATAATCCATCGATATTGTAACGAAAAATATATAGCTATATATATATAATTTCGTTATGACAAATGGAGAGGCACATTAATGTCTTTAATCTCATTGTGAGCATGATGTTTATTCGACTGTGCACTACATCCAAAATGTAACACTCTCATACATAACATGAGCTAATATAGGAGAGAGATGGAAGAGAAGAGAGAGAATAGATAATACAATATAAGGGGAGCAAAGGAACGATATAACAGAAGATTATGCAATGTAAGAATGAACAAGTGATGAGGCCAAAGAGAGAACAATGTAAGAATGAACAAGTGATGAGGCCAAAGAGAGAACAATGTAAGAATGAACAAGTGATGAGGCCAAAGAGAGAACAATGTAAGAATGAACAAGTGATGAAGCCAAGGAGAGAACAGATATAGAAGAACAATCGAGAAAGAACACAGATGAGAGCAATACATATAATATACGAGTGAATGTAGAATGGGAAGCGCGTTACGACAGCAAGAGAATAAGGTTCAATCAAGCATACATAAACGTAAGAGTAATGCGATTATGAACACACGTAACATTGATTGTACAAGAACACACTGAGAAAGTAAAGACATCATATAAGATGATATGCCCATTGGCACAGATATATTCTACTTCTTTATTATATTTAACTACTTTAGTTAATGATCAAACTATGAACTTAATGATTGATACTGGTGCGAATAGAACATTTATTTCAATTAATGCTCTGTCTTTTAAAAATAATAAACAATTTATTACTACACATCAACGACGTGTTTATTTAGCTGACGGTCAAACATCTATAACTGTTTATGGTGAAGTTCAATTACATATAATGTTAGGTGATATGAAAGCTACTATATTAGCACTTATTGTTAAACAATTATGTACTGATTGTATATTGGGAATGGATTTCATTTACAAGTATAAATTGATTATTAATACAGAAGATCGAACAGTATCCATATGTGAAAATGATAAACGTATATCATTAAAAATTGATTCTAATTCATATCGCACTCGTTTTCCTACTCGTTTGATTAATAATATTAAAATTTCACCAAGAAGTACGGTTTCTATTCCTGTATCAATAAATTTGCCATCAACTAAAGTATTATTTCAACCATCTGTCAAGTTACAACAACGAATACCTTTAGTCATATTAAATTCCTTATTAACAGTGCGAAATCATACTTCATTTATTTCACTTTATAATCCAACACGTTCTTATTATTCATTACCTAAAGGAATTATATTAGGAACAACAACAGTACCAACCTTATCTTTAAAAGTCGCTACACATATTGACTAACAACTAGTTGATGTTCATATTAATAAATTAGTTCAACACATTAATAATTCTAAATATTAAGAACAAGTCAGATTTATTTTATCTCAACATACAAAATAATTTGATACTAGTAAACCAACTATTGCTTTAACTTTAAAACCACATGAAATAAAAACACTTGATCATCCACATCCAACATCAAAACCGTATTATTCAACACCACTTAAACAAGAAGCAATGTACAAGATTATACAAGAATTATTGCATTTTGGATTAATTCGTCCAAGTTATTCTCCGTATGCTGCTCCAGCATTATTAGTTCCTAAACATGATGGTTCATGGCGTATGGTTGTTGATTATAAAAAGTTAAACAATATTACAATTAAAGATAATCATCCGCTACCCAATATGGAACAAGCAACACAAATCCTTGGAGGTAGTTATAAATTTTTTTCTAAACTTGATATGAAAAGTGGATTTTGGCAAATTCCAATTAAAGAAGAGGACAAACATAAAACAGCTTTTATTACTCCTGATGGCTTATACGAATGGAATGTTTTAGCACAAGGTTTAAAAAACAGTCCACCGTCATTTCAACGCGTTATGACTGATCTTTTATCACCATGTCATCAATTTTCATTAGTTTATATTGATGATATTGTTGTTTATTCTCGTTCATTTGATGAACATGTTGCTCATATGACACAAATATTATCAATATTATTGAAACATAATTTTCAATTGAACCCATCTAAATGCAGTATTTTTCAACATCAAATCGATTATTTATCACATACAATATCGGAACATAGTGTTAAATCTACTGATGAAAAAATTCAAGCTATTATTAAATTACGTGAACCAACAACATTAGCTGAAGCAAATAAATTTTTAGGTGCTCTCTCTTGGTATCGTAAATTTATACCACAATTTGCAACCATTGCTGCACCTATTCACAAAATCACCAACCTTACGAAACCGAATAAAAAAAATTTGTCTGGGAAGATCCTCAAAAACAAGCATTTTTACAATTAAAACAATTATTAACCACTTCTCCATTATTTCTTAATTTTCCACATGATGATTATCCTGTTATATTAACAACTGATGCTTCAAAAGTTAGTATTAGTGGTACATTACAACAAATAATTAATGGTGAAACAAAAAATTTATATTATCATTCTCAAGTTACATCATCTGCTCAACGACGTTATGATCCGATTGAATTAGAAGCTTTAGCTATATGGTTATGTTTTCAACGTATGAGATCTTATTTACTTGGTCGTTCAATAATTATTTATACAGATCATTGTCCTTCATGTTTCATGATGAATGCATCAGTCAAAAATAGACGAGTTGATCGTATTTCTATATTACTACAAGAATATAATATTGAAAAAATTATTCATATTAAAGGTCAACATAATTGCCTAGCTGATTATTTATCTCGTCATCCGATTCAACATAATGAAGAAATATTTGATGAAGAATATGGTATTGGTTTGTTATTTAATGAGGAACTACCGAGCACGGTATCTGTTCCCGATATGAACTTTCCATCTATTAATACTGTTATCACACGTTCCAAACACAAACAAAATTTACAACAAGCAGTCATCTCAAATCACACTATACCAGTTAGTCAATCAAGAAAAAATTCTTCTACTAGTCAGTCAACAACAATTGAACCAACTCCATCTTATACATGTACTTATTTTACTATTGAATGTGTTAAGGAAGAACAAGCTAAAGATCAAAAACTACAACAGATAATTCAAGAACTCAAAGATAAGAAGATAATTAATTCTTACATTTTTCAAGACGGGTTATTATACAAATTATTACCTATGTCTCCAAATAGTAAAAAGAAAATTAAGGTAATATTTCTACCTTCCACTTTAGTTGATTCTCTTCTTAAGACATATCATACTGATCCATTATCTGGTCATTTTGGTGTTAAACGAACTTATTTAAAATTAAAGAATAAATTCTGGTGGCCTAGTATGTTACATTCTGTTACTATGTATATCAAGAATTGTTTACCTTGTCAACAGTATAATATTAGTCGTATTAAAAACCTGGTCATTTATATTTAATTGAACCATCTGATGGACCATTTCAGTTAATTGGTATTGACTTTTGTGGACCTTTTAATCGTACTCCTAGTGATAATCGATATGTTCTATGTATTACAGATTATTTTACAAGATGGATCACAGCTATAGCTTTACCGAATTGTTCAGCTCAAATTACTGCACAAACTATTTTTAATGATTATATTTGTCGATATGGAGTCCCTAAATCTATTTTATCTGATCAAGGTACTCATTTTAATAATCAATTAATGGATGCTATGGCTAAATTAGTTGGATATACTCACATATTTTCTACTGTTTACCATCCACAAAGTAATGGAATGGTTGAACGATTTAATGCTACATTTGTGCCTCAATTAGCTAAACTTCATGATCGTGAGAGTAATAATTGGGATGAATATTTATCACCAGTTGTTTTTGCATATAATACTAGTGCACATTCA